TTGATGAAAAGTCAATTCCACCTGGCGGGATTTATTATAGAACCAATTCATTTTGTTATATTGAAGAATTAACACCTGACGGCTAGCAAAGTAATCGCTTGGCTAATGTTATCTATTGATTCATGATTGGAAATTGAAAATAAAAAACAAGCACAGAGCACTCGACGCTAGTGGAGCTTTGGGAATGCGCCGCGCACTCGATTTTCGCTCAGAATCGTTAATGTGGTTGAACGTGATGCGGCCGATACTAGATGCTGTTTTTTTTCGAGAGTCAGCCGATGTTCAACCAGTTTCTCATTTTCCATGGTCTTCTGAATATGTTGTCGTTTTTCGTGGTTCCAATATTTTCGAATGTGTTCCACACCAGCTTTCGTGCGGCGGCATTCTGCGAAATCTCTGAATATTCTTACGGTTCTGCAAGTATCAAAGGCTTGACTGGCACGTTCTGATTCTAACCTCTTGGAATGTCTCTGCGCTGTCTCATTAGCCTGTGCTTCAATCCTGCGCCTCCCCTGCTATCGATGCCTTGAATTATGCCCATTATAAGTTTTTGTCTCAAGGCTTAAAGTCCATGAGGGCTTCTTTGCCATTCAAAGCTAAAAACAGTGGGGAGGCGTGAAGCTTTCCATGCAAGACAGGTCTGGCGGAAATTTTTAAGGTCCTGTGCCCACGAGAGAGATTGAGGATTCGAACACTGTAGTGTCACCATCTGTGCTCTAGTCTCCTTGTGATAAGCGATACCATCTTTCATGTTAGCTCGTCCAGCAATTCAATTCGGGCCCTATCTCCGGGGTTTCCTGTTATCTCATTTGATTTTCGGTGCTGCAAAATTTAGCACCCATGTTTTCATTTTCCCGCTAGCCAAATGAGCGTGATTTTGAGCAGTGATCTATGATGTAGATTGGTTGGAAAAGTGTGATAACACCTCCGGTGCAACTGAATGCATTGTTTGATTTATCATGAGAAGAGAATTCAATGTTCCGTCGGGTCTATGTCTCTAGAACTTTGGATTCTAGCTTAAGAACTGGATCAAAGTACAACGCAGTGTAATATTTCTTATCATAACAGTCGCTTATCAGGCTGAAAGACTGGACTCATGTCTAGAGGAAGACCAACGAGTGTGAGAATATGTGCTTAATGAGTGGAAAAGGTGGAATGAAGAAAGAAGAAATTTTCGTATCGTTCCCCACAAGTGCAGTACCAAATGACTGAACCGGCTATGAAGGGCTTGGTTAGCCTGGACCCGTGAGGAAGGCCACGATTCCGGGAAGAATGTTCTCATGCGATCTTGTGACCGCCGCTGATCGTTTTGTCGTCAGGAGACGTGGCGCACTCTCGTGCTTTATAGATTCATCGGTTAGCCTGTAAGTGTGGTTTGGAGAGTGAGCATAGGTAAGGACAAGAGTTTCCTGAATGCCGTCAGCCATGCCTCAATAACTACATAAAAAGTAGATAAAGAATCGAAATCTGACTTTTGCGATCGCTCCTCGGTGTGGAGCCACCATCTTGTGTTGGGGTATTAACAATATAGAAAGACTATACAGTCCGTATGTACACATGGCTGTATGTGTTTTACTATGCAGTCTACATGGGCTGTGTGAAAAGAGCAGCCAAAATCCCTAGTCACTTTTTTCTTTAATACGCTAGCTGAGGGTTTTCTTTAAAAGACTAATACGTCGCGGAAGACTGAGCAATTCACCTAGCCATCGAGGCATACTGTCTTTGGCACGAAAAGTCAAAGTGCAATTGTGTCTGATGCATGAAAACACCCGTTCCTTCCTTTAATAGCCTATTCTCGTTTGGAGTCTACATCCAGTAAGGGGGGGGGCGGCGGCGCAGTCTGTGTGCACACGTCAAGTGGCTGCCCTCACCCACCGCCCTAGACTGCCTTCACTCGCCGCTTATTGCCGGTACCTTCTAGTGGCATCGAGGAACCTTGTGCGGGGAGTGTGGCAATGTAGGGGGGGGTGGGGGCAGGGCCAATGCCCCCCTTACCTGTGAGACCGCCCCTATTTTCATCTTGTTTCCGTTCAAAATGGAAGCTAGATTTTTCATTTCCGTGAAACCGGGTGCTTAGAATACCGATTATGATGAAGATGGAGTTCAATGATTTCTGTGCGCGATGTCTTTATTTCATTAGCGGCTGCAATGCCCCTACAAAAGAAGGGGCTGGAGCTGACTGAACCTTGAAAAGTCCTTGATTATTCATAGCGCTGAATTTCGTTCAAGCTGGTAGTAGATGTTTAAATGAGTGTGCTTAACGATTCATTTTCGTCTAATTTGATTGATTTCAGTATCATGCAGAGACGATTGCGAATATTCGTGAAGCGTGCGAGTCGTTCAGTGAAGTCCGCCAGATTGGCATAGCTTTGGATACAAAAGGTCCTGAAATTCGTACCGGTATTCTGGTCGGAGGACCGTCAGCTGAGGTCAGCGATGCTTTCACTTTGTTATCCATTCTACTACTGCGGTTTCTCTTGCCATTGCTTTCTATGGAATTCGAGCACGATGTTGATTTGCTTGTTTTAGATAGAGCTCATGAAAGGAGGTTCGATCCTCCTCACTACGGACAGCCATTTCAAAGAGTCCAGTACGGCAATCAATCTTTATGTAGACTACAAAAATATTGCAAAGGTAAGCAGTTACTCTCAGTTCACTGTTGTGTCGATATCAACAAGATGTTTATTTTTTCACGCCCGAAATTCACCCATTTTGTCAAATTTTTCTAAGGTGCAAGACTACGGTAAATTTTTTGTCTTGTCCTATTTCTCAAAGATGCGCCACGCCATCTACTGCCGTCTTGAATTGTGGACAGACTGCTATGCGTGTATAATTGTACGATATCTTACGAGCGCCAGAATGAAGGGTCAGAATGCCCCGGGCTAACTACTTCCTTTAGGGGTGCGCCATGCCCTCGACGTCCATTCAAATTTATAAAGGCATTCAAAGTGGAACTTCTACGTAACGGATTGTGTGGATGTCAACCAGTGCCTAAGGCATTGTTTAGTCCTTCCAATACGGATCTAATCGATTCTAGAAGGATGGTAAAGTTGGTTAGGAAAGACATGACCTGGGGCGCAATAAAGGACCGTGTACGTGTTTGCAGCGTACTTCAAATCTCTCTTGAAGGTGTTTTCTTAGTAGTAAGCGCTTCACGTGTATCAAGCTGAGTACTTGCCAACCTACATACCTGCCCTGGGGAGGGCCTAGGTTCGTTTGGTCTGAGAGGCCCAACAGCCCTGGTGTTAGGGCTCATTTATCGTGGACTTGCTAAGCTCTAGTCCCTGGTCTGCCCACATTCTTTTCAAGTTCAGATTCAGTCGTGCTTTGTGATTGCATAAGTCATTGTAGGTTGTAAAAGAAGGATCTCACATATTTGTCGATGATGGTCTCATTTCTCTTGTTGTCGACGAGATTAGGGAGAATGGTGTCGTATGTACAGTTGAAAACGGAGGAATGCTTGGTAAGTTTATCTGCTT